AGGTGATTCTTTTTTGTATGTGTTTTTTGTTTATTAAAAAAAGGGACCAGCCCATGGTGCCTCTGCCAGTAAAAATGGAACTCAGGAGGGCCATGTGCGGCCCTCCCAGACTCTGTTTTCAGCCGCAACAGCCTCCTGCAGTCCTCTTGGCAGTGAAAATGGAACATGCGCCCCCCCACCCTGAGCTCCCTTTTCACTGGCAGAGGGCTGAGGAAGCCGTTGCGGCCCAAAATGGAGCTTGGGAGCCTGTTTTTGCTGGCAGAGCACTCAGGCCCCCCAACATCAGTGATGTCAAGCTGGCCATGCCCACCCCAGCTCCCTGCCGTCAAACACAACCCTAATGCGGCCCTCAATGAAATCGAGTTTGACGCTCCGGTGTAATAGAAAACATATGTATTTGTGCTACAATTTTTGTTGCTAAGACGCTGAGCTTGTTGATCAGAAAGGTCAGCAATGCTGCGGTTCGAATCCCTAGTGCTGCATAACAGAGTAAGCTCCTGTTACTTGTCCCAGCTTCTGCCAACCTAGCAGTTCGAAATCATGTAAAAATGCAAGTAGGAAAATAGGAACCACCTTTGGTGGGAAGTAACAGTGTTCCGTGCGCCTTCAGCGTTTAGTCATGCCAGCCACATGACCACAGAGAAGTCTTTGAACAGCGCTGGCTCTTCAGCTTTGAAACAGAGATGAACACCGTCCCCTAGAGTCAGAAACGACTAGCACATATGTGTGAGGGGAACTTTTACCTTTCAAGGTGCAAACACAAGAGAAATGTAATACGTATCATTCCTAGGCTGGACTGGGAAAGAAAATTTCTCTGAAACTCTGGAGTGTTGCTGCCAGTTGGTATTGAACATACATGTGCAGCTGAATCAACAACTTGTCAGTGTAAGGCAGTTTCCTGTGTTCCTATATAGGGTTGTCATATCTGAGCTGCAAAACCCCAGACAACCAGTAGATAGCAGCAAAGAGGCAGAGCGTCTATATCCTTTTGCTGCCATCTAAACATCATCTAAATTTGCAATAGTGATGAATATCTGTGGCTCAGATGTAGGACGAGGGTGAACGTTCATTCTGTATTGGTTTCTGAAAGATTTCATTTCCAGTCTAGGTGACATTTTTAGCAGAGTTTAGGGGACCTAAAGATGTTGCCTAGCCTGGTAACAAAATGTTCAGAAACCAACCCACAAGCGTGGAGAACTAATTTTCGCCCTCATCATCTAAATTTCTGTAGCCAGATACAGTGGCTAAATATAAGAGAATATCTGTAGTTCAAGGTTGAACGATGTGGAGTCCTTGGTGTTCTCTATGTTTGTTTGTTTGGTTGTTTACTTGCAGACATTTCATTACCCAACAACCAGTAGCTAACGTCACCAGTGCTGATGAACGTAGGGTTTGTTCCCTATTTATATACTGCAACTTACCCGGCCAGTATTGGTGGGCTGTGGTTTTCTCCTTGGTAATTTCTTGATTGGAGTATTGTTTTCTGCTTGATTGTTTGTTTGGTATTAATCCCTGCTTATCTGGGTGTTGGCTTCCAGAAAGGATGTCTTCAAAGTCTTTCCTGCCTAGCTTTTTTATCGTCGTCTTTGATCAGTGCCTAAATATGGCTTATGGCTGATTTGTCTGAATGCCAAGCTTCCCGGAATTCGCTAGAGTTTTTGGATTTAACTTGATCTAGAATGCTCACAGTTTCTCAATTGAATCTATAGTCTGTCCGTGTGTTGTGTTGTGAGATTAAAGAATTTTCATCATGCCTTCTGACTGCTAGTTGGTATTCATGGATGCGCTCTGCTGTTTTTCTGCCTATCTGTCCTACAGAGTGACAGTTACAGTTCTTAACCATATGTTGTACATGATTCCTGTTTTTTTCTCTTTGGGATACTGGCAGTGGTGGGATTCAAATAATTTAACAACAGGTTCTCTGCCCTAATGATTTCATCCAACAACCAGTTCACCAAACTGCCCAGAAAGTTAACAACCTGTTCTCCCGAATTGGTGCGAACCAGCTGAATCCCACCACTGGCTACCGGGTTACCAAATATACAGATATAGTGGCTATACATGGTAATCAAGTTGAATAATCAAGTCATTCCTTGGCTCTTGCTACCAACTCTATGTTCCTTTTCAACGTTTATCTTTACAAACAGGTAGATTGAATAGGGTACTATATAGGTCATATAAAGGAAGAGGGAGGCTTAATGCTTGATTTCCGGTTGCTTTGCCTGGATCTGCCTTCTGAACCGTGAACACAATAGATGATGGTGTATTCTGCTAATTGTAACTATTGTTCCAATGCAAAACAAAACAAAACACACCACCCACAAACGAGAAAAACCAGTAACTCATCTCTTTGTCTTAAGGGGAAATGACCCAGAAGACAGAAAACTATATCCAAGGGGAAAATGCATGGCTTTTCATACAGTTTGTACAAGAAAAACTGGAATTGCAACTCTCTGTTCTGTTAGAGTTAGACCCCTTCTGAAGCAAGCATTTTGACTGTTCTTTTTCTCGTGCGGTCTTTTTTTCTCTTTTGAACACACCTAAGCTTGGCTCAGTGGCTAAGACGCTGGGCTTGTCGATCAGAAAGGTTGGCAGTTCGGCGGTTCAAATCCCTAGTGCCACGTAACGGAGTGAGCTCCCACTACTTGCCCCAGCGTCTCCCAACCTAACAGTTTGAAAGCACGTAAAAATGCAAGTAGAAAAATAGGAACCACCTTTGGTGGGAAGGTAACAGCGTTCCATGCGCCTTTGGCATTTAGTGATGCTGGCCACATGACCACAGAGACATCTTTGGACAGTGCTGGCTCTTTGGCTTTGAAATGTAGATGAGCACCGCACCCTAGAGTCGGGAACAACTAGCACATATGAACGAGGGGAACCTTTACCTTTAAGCTTGGCACTGGGTGCAAAGAGTGTGCGCACATACCCGGTCTTGTTTTGGAGCTGTGTCTCTTTAAAAGATTCAGGTATAGCGGCAACCTTGTTGCTACTGAATATTTTAAAGGAAGAGAGCACTAAAGTTGCTTGCTTAATTAAATATGTATGCTGATTCCAGACTTTTACATTTAAGATGGCTGGAATCAGCTTGGCAGGAACAAAGAGATATGGGACAGAGAGATAATTCATTTAAAAAATTAAACAGTATATGGGCAGGTTAGTGGATATATGTCAGACCTAGCCCAAGAACAAAGTAAAACTAAGAAAAAAAAACATTTTATTAATGAGAAATACAAGCTTGTTTCTTGCTGTTGGTTTTTTCCTGAGAAGTGTGTGTGCTACAGAAGGGGATTCTTGGACGAATCCTATATCTTGTGTGTCTTCATCATTTAAAAAACAATCAGTATTAAACTGAGCACATAATAATTCTCATTTATACATAGTGCAGGTAGTCCTCGAGTTACAACAGTCCATTTAGTGACTGTTCAAAGTTACAACGGCATTGGGGAAAAAAAACTTTCGACTTTTTTTTTTTTTTTTTTTTTTTTACAGTAGACTTATATACCGCTTCATAGGCCTTTCAGGTCTCT